TAAGTTATAAATTTTCTATCAACTAGTTGCTTGTGATAGTTTTATTGTCGATATATATTACTTCAATTCTTAACTAAGCTAGGCATTTTTTAAATGTGTATCTTTAATTTATGCATCAAGTACTAAGGGTAATTTCTTGTGAAATTGTACATGATTTTTTCGTCAAGTGTTTGTTCATAATCAACATTAACATAACATTATAAGAATTTGACGTATTAACAAAATTTAATAATTTTGGTTTTGAGATACAATTAACAACTTTTAGATGCAGTCATCTTATCATAGATAGAGTATTCTAAGATTGAGTTTAGGCTATCAAATATATAAGTTTTACTGTTGATTTTTCATACAAAATTAATAACATTATTAATTTTTAATAACATCAATTAGATATTGAATATAATACCAACCAACATGAACAAATATCATTTTAAATTTGTCAATCACATGTTGCATGTACTTGATTAGATTCATTCATAGTTTTTTCTTCTTCAAATTTTCATGAACATTCATTCTTATTGTACTTCTCAACTAATCCATACCTTCATCTTTATTGTAAATTTCAACTGATTTTTGCATCTTTGGACTTTGAAATAATTTTTTCCAAAATGAACATGTCATACGCATAATTTACTAGAATAATAAGATTGAAGATATCATGATTTATCTTATTCATCAACACATATGTATCATACATATTTTATGAAAATTGTTGTGCTTTCATAAAACTTCATCAAATTTACCATTTCACCAATCATAAGCTTGCTTACAATCATATAATAATTTCAACAATCTAAAAATCAAATTTTTTACCTTTCATTTTAAAGTCAACTGTTTATTTCTTGTAGAATTGTATTCAATAGAAAAATGTTTTAGCTATAACTCATCATTACAAAATTAAATAAGGTTACATTGCACATACTACAAAATTTTAGCATAATTTTCTTAAGATGAAATAATTTCATAGTCTTTCATACCTTTATTTTGTGTAAAAAGTCTTGTTGGCAATTTGGCTCTAATTTTTTTTCTCCTCATCTATTAGATTTTTTTTCAACTTATATATCAACTTGTTATCAATCAAATTTTGAATTTTTGAAATCTCCTAGGTCTTGTTATTCATATATGACCTCATCTCACGTTCCATATTAATATTACATTCAAATTTGTTGAAAGAGATTTGAGCTTCTTTTATAGAAAAAGGTTCATTTTTTCCTAAAATAAATGCAATATCATCACGTCATTAGAATGAAAATCATGATCTTTAAAAATGAATAAATCAGCCCATAATCCATATTTCACATGAGTTTTTGGATTTAAAATTCAGCTAAATCCTATAATATTTAGGTCTGAAAGAATAGATCTTACAATCAAAAAATGTAAACTATTAAAATTAGCCATTTGTTTGATATTCAATTCAAAAAATGTCTTAAAATATTGATTGCATTAGAATTAAATAGATTTACTGAATATGATGCAATATTATTGATTTTAATTTAAAATCTATATGATAAATTACTTTGACTTATAATAATATGCATCTTCTTCAATGCTATTCAATTGGATCTTTCAAAACCAGAAATTTATTGCTGAGTATAAGCCAGATGAAATGACAAATACATTTTTTCTCTTCTCAATTTTTTTGAAATCCTTGAGATTATAATTTATGTGATTGTGATCATTTTTGTAATTTTGTGTAAATTTTGTTCCGAGATATGTGATTTTCTATTCAATTTGAGTTTCAACTTGAATAGCCACCTTCTAAAGGTTGCAAAAATCTCAAACTTTTGTGTGAAGAAATAAATTTACACAAATTGGGAGTAATCATGAATAAAAAAAACACATACTGTAACTTCTCAAAATGTGAAAGTTTTGGTAAAACTTACCACATTTCACTATGTTTATATTCAAGTACATCCTAGCATGCTTGTTTTTTACAAAATGTTCATAAAACTCTTAATGATTTTATCCTATGATAAGTAACAAATTGTTATTCTCAAAGAGTGTATAGTAAAAAATCTCATGTGTACAAGACTTAAAGTTCATACATAAGCCATTTGAATTCAAGATTACGTAAAATTAACTTCACGTAATTAAATCACATATGGTTGTGATTCTAGCATGTATATTATGTTTGTGAACTCTTAACATAATCTTATCATTTATTTTCATCTCAAGTACTTCTTCTCAAAAGCTCCATTCAAGAAGTTTTAATTAAATCTATCTCTAAATCTAATTCTTTTTATTCTTGTAAGTTCATAAATATGATTGACCTTGGGTCAAATTAAATTTTGTATCAAAAGAAGAGAATAAAAAATGAGGTCATCAACTTTTAATTCTGATCATAAGATCCTTCTAGTTGTTGTCATTGTAGGTGGATGGAGTAACGAACATCACCGTTTGTGTTGGTGATTATCAAGTTAAATGTCATGACTACTCTCCTTTGTCTTGTAATCTTGAAACGCTATGTTACAAATTTATATCAAAAATTAACAAAATATGAACATAGAAGATGCAAGTTCAAAATAGCACAAATACACATAGACACACAACACGTCAAGAGCACAAATACATGTTCACACATAAACACACACAACATCTACACGACAATATGTGATTTGTCACTTCCGACTACATTTATGAAAGCCAAAAGTTTATATTGAAACCTAACAATATTCAGGAAGAATCATGACTTGTTTTTTAATAGTGTACTGTACTAACTAACTAGGAAAACCTTAAACCTAAACCTAACTAGGATAAAGCTAAGTTATATTCAAACTTGAGTTTAAGCTAACATTAATCTGTAATTATATTCATGTTCATTATATCATATTGATTAATCATGATATAGCTAACTAGAGCCAATCAAGTTATAAATTAAGTTTTAAATTTTTTCATAATTTCCAATATGTTCAATATAATATTAAATTTTTAGATTGGAAATTCATTGAATTGAATCTAGTTAATATATGTTTTATATTTATATTTATCAAATAATATTTACTAAAACTTTTCTGGTTTATAATCATATTTTCATATAATCATAAAATCTTCTTCTTCTTCTTTTAATTTACATTTAATATTCATCACATACATGTCAAATTGAATATGTCATTCATTGATTGAACATTGTTTGAAGTTAACCTATATCTTGTTAACTCTTGTTAGGTGAAATCGTTTTTGTTTTTTAGAATATAGAAAATGTGATATTAACTCTTAGTATGCTTCAAAATTTTCAATAAAATCATTGAGTTTCCGTGTTTTTGTGTTACCGTGTGACTCACAAGGTGAATTTTATATCTCTTTGTTGGTTGATGATTAACACTTACTTGTGGATAATTTCTTACAAGTATTTGATTTTGATATAGATTTATAAAATAACCTTGATGACAAAAGTATGACAATTGAATTGAGCTAAAATTATTGCCATGATATATATTTTTTCTTGAATATTTTATATATTTCATATGTTTACTTCAATGTCAGTATTTATTTCTATAGATATGAAGGATTTAAAAACATGACAAAGTCTGAATAAATCACTCATATCATTTCAATTATTGTAAGTTTAAAATGTAAAAAAAATCTGTTACAGTTTTATGATATAATTTTTACAAATCTAAATATATGTAAATTTACAAAGAAAACTTGTAACTGGATGAAATATATGATGAAAAATTTTTATCCATATAATGATGCATGATGTGTAATTTCAAAGATATTAAATTTATACCTGAATACTTGAAAAATATTATGAAGTTAAAAAATACAACATTTTCAATAAAGCTTTCCGCCTATGAAATATCATGTTATGTATACAGGCATAAGTTTATAAACTTGAAATGAAGGTATACTACTGGTAATGAACTCATATGAGCTTTTAATTTTTGTTTTTGTTTATCAAAATGTGTACAGCGAAGATTTTTAAGTAAAAACATCAACCATGGAAATAATATTTTGTTAATACTTGGACTTGAAGGATTTGATTTTCGAAAAATAATAATTTGAATGAGTTCACTGAGCCAGACGCCAGATGATTTTCAATCTACAATTGACATCGTTTCGAAAGAAGGTAGATGGTGGATCTTTGTAGCACTTGTAGCGAAGGTCTCCAGCTCTGCAAAGAGGTAGCTTCTTTCTAACTCTAGACACTGACTTCCGACATACTTCGGAAGGAGTAGGAAGATTGCTGACAATCTACAAAACTATGAGTTTCATTCTCTTTAGACTTTCATATAGCCTATTTCAGCCACGGTGTTTCCAATTAATCAGGACACATTCATCGCACATCCAATCAGGTTCGCATGCCGGACTTCAACATTTTCATCCTGCTTAACGCGAGCATGTTTCTTTGTTCTCGAATTTTCACTATCTCCACATTCGCGCAGAAGAAGAGGTTGGGGATCATTCAGAAAGGGCGCAGATACCTCTCGTCCCCTGCACAGTTCCTGTGAGTTTTGTTCTTGCTGGTGTTTTGAGGGCTTTGCTATTTGCCATCGCGTTTTACTTCCTGAGTCTCCGGTGCTGGATTGCTCTCGACGTCGTCGGCCTCACTTGTTCATTACCAGACCATGGCCCCAACTTTGTTATCATTTCTCAAAAAGAAGTACGTTCAACCCTATCGTGCACGAATCTGATTCCACTTAAGCTGCAACTCCATAGTTTGTGGATCCCTATTTATTGTAAGGCAGCTAGTCTCCTTTGCATGCTCCCTCTTTCTAGTGAGATTGGCATGCAGAGTAACAGACAATCTAGACGAGTGGCCACACCACTCTTGCGACAGGAAGACTTCACGTGGCAACATTCAGCTCTTCAATTTGAGGCACACGATTGTAAAGATCAAGTTCTTGGCTAGTAACTATGCTCTTGAGGTACCCTCACTAATGCGGATGGTCCCGGAGAAGCACTTTCAAGGCGATACACCCAGTACTTTGAAAGTGCCCTAGTATATGTCACACGAAATCCATTGTCTCCTATGACACTCAGATACAAATTAGGAAGTAGCCTGACTGTGTGAAACATTCAAAATTGTGCACTTGATGTATTTGAAACCAGGGCAAAAAAGTCCACACTTTGAAATTGTAAAAAGCTTCATAAAAAATAGGAATTAGAAGCTTTTGTCTGTCCTCAAATTCCCGTGTGGCAATTTCTCTAAAACTGTGAAGAAAAAAGAGTGTGCTATCTCTATAATGATATTGGGTTGGATTGAAGATATGAGCTGTCGCTTTTCTGAAGCTCATCTAGTATACTTTTCATCAGGCCCACCCTTAAGGAAGTCGATGCCTCCCTCCTCTTTAACATTGACGTCTCTTGCTAATGAATGTGTACTGAACTGGTCAGATCCTACTTTACAAAAGCCTAACAATCTACCTTTTCCTTAACTATTTTCTTCACAAATTTCCTTACGTGTCGCAGAACACATGACTCGCAGCATCCCGGGATTAAATCAGAAGAAGTGAGTCCCTCGTGGTCACATATGACAGTTCCAAGAGACACATTTGTGCCATTCTTCGACTCAGGACCATCAAGAGAAGCCAGTATCGCGTGTGTTGCCAGCCTGGCAATTTCCTTGTACTGCTTCTTATCTGCATCAGTCACAATCCACACAATTCAGAAATGCTTAAAAATTGGAAAAGTGTTGATATAAAGAACAAGAAATTGAATTTCTCCGTTCTCGCTGTTCAATTCCTTGGCGTGGTCTTCTCCTAGTGCCAGATGCAAGCAGATGGCAACGCAGGAGATTGACACAACTTGACTACCCGGACGAAGGGCGTTCCAGCTCCAAGAAGCTGCTTCTAGATTAATTCCATTTCTCAACAAGTGATTTGATTATTTAAAAAATTTGGATGGCTTGGCTCTTTTTCATCTTACCAATCTTGCCTTTGTCGAAAAAAGGTTTTAACGCCATGTTGACTAAGTTGAAGCATTGTTCTTTGAGTAGTTTCACCTCTTCGTCTCTCTCTGGGCAACGTATGATTGCTTTTGCTGCTCTTGTCCGAGATGTGCTTAATATTTGCGAACTTGTACTGTCTTTTGACTCTCTGTTGGATTCTCTCCTCCTTGTAGAAGGACCAGAGCCCCTTGAATTGTCTTTGTCATCGAATAAGCTCAACACTTGGAGAGCCGTACTATCTTTCGAGTCCTTGTTGGGATCTTTCATCCTAGTGGACCGCCCTGAAGAACCCCTTGAGTTGTCTTTGTCATCAAGAACACTTCGAACTTGCAAAGCTTCAGGGTCCACTCTATTCTCTCTCAGGCTAAGACGCCTCGAACTACTATCAGGAGCACTATTGTCTTTAGCGGTGTTTCTTGCAACCTGACTGCTTTCTCTGAGATGATAACCCCCTCGGCTGCTCGAAACCTCGCGCCTACTGCTACTATGAAGTGGATTGTCCTCTCTAGCACTCATAGGAGGTGCAGTACTCTCCTTCGTCTCGACTTCCCTGTTTAAATTTGCACTCCGCGTATTCAAAAAGACCTCTTGCCCTCCACTTGAACTCGTAGCTCCTGGAAGAACAGCCTCCTGAGCTTGTATCTCTCTAGTTCTCGGCACTGCAACTTCTTGTGACTTTGCTTCCCTACTAAATCTTTCGGTTGCTATCCCTCCTCGGGAAGATGCAGTCGCAGATTGATTGCCGTTAGCAGCAGACCTCACCTCTAATCTTCTTGCTTGATCCATCATAGCCCATGCTCGATCAACCTCAACCTGCTCAGCTGATCGCGGCTCAGGTCTTGGATGAGGTACGCTTGGACCATCCCCACGGCCAATCCCGGGAGCTACTATATTTCTCGTCCCAAGTCCTAGTGTGCCTGACAAGGAGGAAGATGGAACAGATGATACATCTGGACCTGTTCTGAAAAAGTTAGAATTTCTGGATTCATGAGCTGCTTGTCCAGAGAATTGAGTTTCTCCAGTCCGAAATCTATTCCAGTTATCACGCATGTTTTGTAACCTGTTGTGCACGGTTGCTTGCACCTGACGCTGCCGGAAAAGTGTTCTGGCCACTCCATAATGCTCCAGTAGAGATGGTAAAAATCCGCTTCTAGAATCAGTGGAGGAACTTTCCAACAAGTTGGTGGTGGCCCTGGGGCCCCTTTCCATACGCCGAGTACTTCTTCTCACTGGTCGTGCACCTTGATTGGAAGTGGCTAAACGTCTGGATCTTGCATTTCGTTCTGCGTTTATATCCGTCACTAGCACAGCCAAATCCCAAGCTGAGTTAGTCCCACAAGGATCCTCTCCGTCTTGCACTAAATATCTCACTTCCTCTTCATCTTCGCTGGAACCTGCAAGACCATTCAGACATTCTTGACAGAACCAATCACCCCGGGGAACAGAACGACCAAGACCCACACAGTAAGTATGCGCTGCAGCATCACACCGATCACACAGAAGCAATAAGCCTTCGTCTCCTGCTTCCTGACACTCAATACAAACTGTGTTCTGGTACGGATCAGTGAAAAGGCGGATCTCTTCTTCTGAAGGCTCGTATACCTGCATTCAAAACAACCAGTACAATAATTACTCAGAAGCAACAGAGAAATACGACATCTGAGTAGTCTATATGGAACGTTACTGATCTTCAAACGTGATCAACGTGAAAAGTGATCAGCGTCAGACTGTCAAATTCTGCTCACGTAGATAATTTCTAACAAAAAAACTAACCTTTGAGTTTGAACGTTGTGGGGGTAGGCGAGTACTATATGCTACTTTCATTGATACCTTGCATAATGCATTTACGTGTATCTTTTAAAGGCTTGCATTGCCGGCTGATTTTCAGTTGGTATCATCATACTTTGCAAGGGATAAACCTTGAGCAAATATGTAATGATGTGGGTAGGTGAAAGGAGATTACTGGGAAAGTATTCCTTATGCCAAATAGTAGAGTCTTCTTCGATGTACTCTTCCCTAGCTATGTACCTACATCAAGTCCCCTTCACTACTCATCTTATTTAATATCAGATTGACAAACCACCTGACCAAATTTCCAATTTCTGTCCGATCTTATTTTAATTTATGTTTAACCTTTCGTTTTGTAATTGGAAAACTATAACATCTTATGATCATCAGTTACAAGAAAAATAACGTCAACACAAGGATTCGTTATTCCATCCAAATACTTCTGGCATTCCCGTGACTACGAGGGCACTTTGATGTGAAGACCAAATTCGAGAAAACAAGTTCTATGAGTCAAGAAATCTTTAGCATAAGCTATCCTCTCTGATTGCCTCCCAACAGCGAGTGGCGTTTGGTCACTGCCACAGAGCAGTGCCGACCGCTGTGATCATCCATTCAAACCACCCTGAATTCTCCCGGTACATTCCATGGCGATCCGAGGGCTTCTGCAGCGCCCCTTCAAGCAGGCCATGAGATTCTCATATCAAAAAGCAGTGGCAACATGGCACCCAAATGCAATGCGTACATGGGAGCCCTCAGAAACCAGAAGTAATTCTAGTTCCCGGCATCGCTCACCTAGAAACCTAACTTCTGGGGGGTATTATTTAAGTAACCACTTTTACAGATATATCCTCATAGTTTGAAGGATGTCGGTGCTGGAAAACTTGTCAGTAGTTAAAAAAAGCTTGACAAAAATGTGAATTGAACGAGCCCTAGAGAATGAAAAAAATGTACGTTTACTTCCAGAACTTACAGAAAAAAACCCTTCGTCTATGTTATGAGTAGGTGAAAAGCAAATTTTGAAGCAAAGAGAAAATTGGCAGGGAAGAATATTTACTTGATCTCGAGTAGGAATACGAAATGTTCTGTTCCGGCTGCGAGCCACACCGGAAGCGGCAGGTCTCATGACAGTGACAAACCGTTGCTTGCACATGGGACATCGAGACTCTACTTTCGCCCATTCCATAATGCAGTTGAAACAGAAGAAATGATCGCAGCAATCTAACTTTCCCCTCTCAATTCCACCTTCACTTAAACATATCCCACAAACCTGATCGGCCTCCTTCTGAGAATCACCCTTTTGCTCTTCTACAACTCCCCCGCTTGCACTCCTGCTTTCTTCATCTTCATCTTTCACTACCTCTTTCCCCTTCGCTTTACTGTCAATAACAGACTTCCTGGTCTGCCAACGCCGTTCATTCCTGTCCTCTTCTTCATGATCATCCTCCGATCCTCCCTCGCTATCGGATGAGGACGTTGCTTTAGCATTCAACTCCCTCGATTTTCTCCTCTTCTTCCTAGACGAGTTCCTCGCCATGAGCACCAGAGTACCAATGCAAGGTTTATCTTCCTTTCGAAGGTTCTAAAATTTCCAGCGTATTTCTGAAACTACTTCCGTTAAACGGATTCCCCTGCCATCTCAACTTTCAATGCACAACTTGCTATCGCTAGGAGAACATACAACATTACAACAGAAAACGAAGTCACTAGATATCTGTTTCTATTCCGAATTTGTTCCGAATTTGCAAAACCTCCAATGTCAAAGCCCTTCTGCAAACTTCTGTCACCAGTTCCAATATCTAGCCCTCGAACGACTATGATAATGCCGGAATTGATTTTGGTGTCGCTTATACTCGATGTGCGACCACTAGACGACATGCATTGCGGATTGCGGACGGGTGCAATTATAGTCCCCCGTTCGTGAGGCTCTCGAGAATATCGTGCTTTCGAAAAATCATCCTCATCATCATTCAGCGTGTTCCTGAGACAAGACAGCAGCCCAGACGTCTCTATGCTCTCTCGGAATGTCTAGTCCTGCCTCCCTCCCTCCCTCCCTCCTGCATCCCTGTGTCCTCGGCCGCGCTGCAGCAATGTCTCTCATCACCTTTCTTTTCGGCGCGTCCTCCATCGATCATATCGATTTTCCATGTTCTTCCCGACCCTGGCCATCTGACGTGGTTCTCCGACCGCGTGGCATCCTACTACTGCTCGATCTCATCAAGACCCGCCCTTCCACCGGTCTTGGCAGCACCTTACATGTTGACACGTGGTTAGTTTGAACCCCATGGGGAACGACCCCTTGGATCTCTCGTGGATTGATCCGACAGCCCAACTTGCTCCACTCACACCCCTTTCGCTTCCTCAGTATCCTCATTGGCATTGCTCCGCTCCCTCCCGCGTCCACTAATGTCAGCTTCCAGCCTTTTTAACTACTACAGCTTGCTCTTCTCATCAAGTTTAACAACATGCCTAAGCGATTTCCACATTACCGGCCCGGATTTTGCACAAATGTCTGTCGGCACTCGGCCGCTGCTCTGGACAATATCGTGCACGATATATCTTGAGATCAAAGACTCGCTATGTAAATTCACAATCTTCTCTATTCTCTGTAGTAGTAATCTCTCTAAGTATGGAGCTTCCTAATTATGCACAAGCTGATCGTCAAAATGAAATTATAAATTTGTGTTCATGGACAAGGTGCAGCGAAGATCTTTTAACCCCAACCGTTTTGTACGAATGCGTAAACATCACATTCGCACGACGAATGTACTGTCTCTGCTGTAAAGAGGATCAATACTTTGATAGTTTTCAATTACTTTTCTATCCTTTATAAAAACTTTCGAGACTCATTCTCTTGCAATCAGAATGCATGACTTTTGCAACACCGAAATTCGAGGAATAGTACCAAAGAGCTTGACACATATGGAACGGGAAGACATACGACGACTTGTTTCCAAAGTCTTCCCTTTCCACATTCGAATTTGAGGATGGATGTATATGGGTATTTAACTCTTTTGGACAACAGAGTTTAGCGCGACTTCTTGTCGCGTATTCGATGATTTCGGCTACAACACGGAGTCCAGCAAGAGGAGACAGGTCTACGCCTCTGTGCAGTTCAATGTCTTCTCCCAGAATAACCTACTTGTAATTTGGTAAACTGGGCCAAATAGATAGCAAAAAGATTTTACAAAGGTATAAATGCACTTCACTATCAAAAGATTTTTAAATTGGTTTTAAAGGTTGAAGGATCTAGAAACATCCAAGGAATCATCAACTCTCAAGTTTGTTATTTATATATAGCACTATTTAGTGATTTCTTTAAATCAATGGAGACACAATAAGCTAAACGAAGTGATATCGTGTCGCCTAGTATGCTTCATAAACATGTCAATATCTGATTCTGTAGTTCCACAATTCATTAGGTATTCAGTAGTTTAGGATGTAGGCTACTCATTATGCTTTTGAATATATTCATTAAGTACTAATCTTGTATCAATGAGCTTTCTTTTTATCTTATCTCTTTACCTGCATTTTCATTGCATTGACTATGGCACTATTTTAGATTCAAGTTTTTGTAATACCTTGTGGTCCTATGGTAAAAAAAATCAATGATTAACCATATGTCATAAAAGAAATGTCTGATGATGATAGATTTTTACTTGAGTAGAAAGTTAATATTTCTTGCATTCTACACATACTCCTTATTTCATATGTTAAATTCAGGTCAAATAAAAAGGGCAGTTCATTTATATTTCATAAAAGATATCTTGTGAGAATGTGGTTGAGTACTTCAAATCAAGATTCCATTAAATTGTGCATGAAAATGTTATTCATACAAAAATGTGTTATTGGGATTGATTATGAGGAACATATGAAATGTTTATGCTATGTAATCAGTTAGCATGTTAAATTTACTTAAACTGTAGAAAGCTGATTTTTTTCTTTCTTGTGATTATTGATGTTGCTAAAAACATTAACTTTTCTGATAAATATTGCTTATATTAAAGTTATTGTCTTTTAATTAAAATAAAATTCATCATTTCAAAATCAATCTAATTCAATTTTAGGATGTCAAAGCATTACTAAAACATTATCTCTTTTTAAACCTTCAAATTAAATGTTGAAATTAACTCATGTTAAGAAATAAGCTTGGTCCTAGCCAAACTTATCTAGGAAAGGCAGTATACTTAACCCGAAGACTTCTCTCGCAATTCCTTGTCTTAATCGTGGCGTTGACCTGGTTGAACCACGTTAAATCGATATTCTCGTGTTTATCATCTACTATTTTACTATCTAGTTTATTGTCACTTGTTATTGCTGTTTTACTGTCTCGTGCTAACATTAAAAACCATTTGTTAATATAATCAGCAATAGTTTACTCTTGCAATGTGAGGTTTATATTTGTACTGATGTGTTGAAAGCAAAATCGTTTGGTGGAGTAGTATATATAATCTTAACTGTAAAAATACTAAGATTAATTAATATAGATATTTGAATAAAATAGCCATGGAATAATTTCCACAATCTAAAAATTTTGCTGTATCATTTTCAAAGTGTATCCAAGTTGTTGAGCTGAAGTAAGTTGAGGTATTTGCTTGATGGGACCCATCAAGTTTAGTTTTACCCGATGGCACCCCACTGACGGTGTGCCGTCGATGAGCTCTAGTATATGTTAAAATATGAATATGTTCTTGTCACATCTGAAGGTACAGAGAAGCAAGACGACGTTCCGGTTCCTACGACGGGAGAATATCAACCTTTAGGAGATTGGAGCCCCAATAACAAGAACGGGGTTCGAGGGGAGGGACTCCAATTCATCGACATGATTAGGTAGCGCAGTGCAGTGCAGCACAAGGAAGGGAAGGTAAGGAAAGGAAAGGAAATGCAAATAAAGACTATCGCGGGGAGCGCCATTGCGGTTCAAATTCACTTCCCCCGGAAATGTATCTTTGCCGTTTGGCGATTGGCATCAATCCAGGCCGCATCGTGCATCAGCACAATAGCACTACGAAGGAGCCTGTGGTGACGCGGGAGGTTTCAACCATGAAGGCCAGTATCGGAACGCGCTGAAGTACATTTCGAGTTTGATTCGTGTTTCCACTAGCTTTCATTGTACAGTTCAAATGTCTCCTTGGACGAGGGTTTAGTACTGTAGGCGACTCACAAACTCACCGTCTGTTCATACTAGAGCAGTCTAACGTGTGCCGTCGTTGGGGTATTATTGGGTAAAATGAAACTTGATGGATTCCATCAAGCAAATATCTCGAAGTAAGTCATGTTACTATGGCTTCTCAAGTTGAGCATGTGTCATAGTTTATGAGCTTTTGCATCAACTTATATTAGATTCAAATATTGTAAGAACAAAAACTGGAAAATTTTATAACATTAACCAATTTTATGCAATATCAAATTTATAATATATTTTAAATACAATTAAAAATTTGAAAATTTGAAACAGTTTTATGCTCTATTGGTTATGTTATTTTTATAGATAAAATGTATATAATTAGCATGTAAATTGATATATTTTGAACATTTTAGAATCTATACATTAAAACTTTCATTTGGTCAAAATTCTGAAACATGAAATCCTAATCAATTGTAAGTACATAACATATACATAAATTCATACAGATATAATATTATCTATTAAATAATTATAAAAATATAAAATATGAAAAAGTATATATTTTCAAGATATTGATTAAATCAATTTTTTATTTATAAGTTCACTTGCATTATAAAATATACACAAACTTTGATTATATCTAATTTTATGTATAGTTCATAACAACCAATATTAATACATATATCTATTCAAATAAATATTGAAAATAATTTTTTAATCATTAAATATATTTAATTTATGAGAAAAAAATCTTGGTTTTAAAATTTTAAAACTAAAAAAGTGAAAAAAATAAAAGTATTTACAAATAATATGAATAAATGCAAACTATGTTATTTACTACATGAAACACTTCTCTACATAAAATATAAAGATAAAATCTAATTGAAACAAATTCATATGATGATCAAAATTTATTCTTGTCAAATCCTCATTCTCTCTACCAGTTGACTTTTAACATGAAATTGATGGCAATATTACTTTTGATTTTTCATAACAAATCATATGGTTAAAATGTTCTCATACACACATCATACTAATTAAAAGTATGCATTATACATCGTATATATTAACAAGTCAATGACATTTTGTAATCATTCATGATCTTAAATAATATTGTTTAACTATTTGTTTTTTGAAATTAATATGCTACAACACATTAGAAATTAATGAATATAATATATTCTCAATATTCTTATAATTTTAAATTTTTTTCCTACTGTTCAACTCATAAATTTACCTATCATGTGACTTTTGAACATAATATGCATTTTCAATCTCAAAATTAATAATAAATTAACAAATTTGACACAAATCTTGATGATTTACTAATAATTAGTTTTTTATACTCTCCTTATTGTTGACCACATTTTCCATCAGATATATGTAACATAAACATTGAACACATTTTTTTACACATGAGATTATGATGATATTCGATATTCAAAATTTTCTATATATTAGTGTGAAAATTATTTATCTTTACCTATTAGAATAATTTATTGATTCATTCATAGATTATATTATATTAATGAGAAAATTTTGTTGCAATTTGTTATGTTGATCAAACTTTTATAAAATAATATCCAACTTGATGATCAAATGTGCACTAATATCATAAATGAGCTTGAATAGTACGTATTACGTTATGCATATTCCACACAAAACATACCATGACAAAAAAATTTAGGCTTGAAATCAAAATTTTTAAATAGGCATTTTAAGGCTTGAATTTTTTTTATAAATACTTGTATATATATATGTATGTATATATTTAATATGAAATACTATCATGTCTTGATTTTTTAAATGAAAAAATTATTATAATGAAAATTTTATTATTTATTTCATGTTTATTGAGATTCATATTTAAAGATTTTGTTGGGGAAAGTTAAAAAAATTCAGTTTTTAAAATAAATTATAATACCAATGGATATGAATCATGAATCTTATACGAATTTATAAATTAAAATAAATTTACTGAATGTTACTTCACTAAAAAATTATGTCAAACATAACTACATTATTATTATTTATGGTTCAATTTTTTAATCACCGATTCAAAGTTAAATTATTCTATAAATACTTATGTTTCAAATCGTCAGCAAAGTTTCATTATCATAGACATAACATGATAGTGAGAATATTATGAAGCAAAATGCACTTTGAGTTTGAAAGATTTGATATTATGAATTGTACAATGTGGATCATATTTACATTTTCAAAAATTTATCTTACAAAAACCTGTTAAATTTCAAGCTTAACAATTTTACATTAGATTGACATCAATTGACCTTCATCACTTTAGATTAAAACTACGTATAGAATTGTGGACCTTAATTTCATTTTTATTGATGATTGAGATGATGTATTTAGTCTTGAAACTAACGTATGATGTTACAAAAATATTCATATATCATGCTGTGATTAAATAAATCTTATAGATTTTTCTAGTTATTAAGAACTGAAATGTTTGTTTCCAAAAGTTGTAACAAAATTACAACTTAATTATATTTTAAGTTTAAAAAAGAGTTAAATTTCCAATTGCAAGATAAAATAACTTCCTTTCTGGAGATTTTAGTTGATTACAACCAAATAAAATTGAAATTGATGGAAAAAAATATTTTTTAAAATAAAAAAAGTATTAAAAAATATATATAGGAAAAATGTAAATACGTTTTTTTGGTTTTTTTGCGTGTATAAGATATTAACATTGGAGCTAACTAGGAAGATACTCTTGCATCATAGTAGATTAACTTTTTCTTCTGCAATTATTTGATAGATTTGTTTTAAATAAGACCTAACAAAGATCCACATATACACACACTAAAGTTGAATATTCTGACGCTTTAGATAAGGTTGTGATTTTGTTTGACATGAAAAAAAGTGATAATTACTTGTGACATAATAATATAATGAATGGAATTTTTAACCATCAAAATATATTGATAGCAAAGAATTAATCTCTCTATGTCTCTTTGAATTTGTATAGTGTCATGAACTCAAATCTCTCACGAGAGTGTTGGGATGAAAATTCTATGAGATTGCGCATGAGTGTATAGTATGATAGACTAAATGTGTGTCACTCACTTTGACGTATGTAGATCATTTTTATTAATTAGTTATGTATTATTGAATGACAAACATTGGGTTATGCAACACAAAAAAAATCCTCACATGAGTTGATTTATCTTCGTTTATCTTTGTCTATTATGTTAATGGTTTCACCAGATGATTTGAATTCATGAGACTAAATAGTACCTGCTGCTGTTACTGGGACTAACACCATCTCATACCCTTGGTTTCATATGCTTGATGTAATTTTCTATTCATTCTTGTTAAAATGCTTCGTTCCCCATTTTGATCAACGCAAATGAAATCTGATCGCATAAGTTGCTTGAAAGCTCAATCCCACGGTCCACAAAAGGATAGAGAAATAATAGCAGAAGACGAGTAAAATAAGAATAAAAGTAGAGAATCAGAGAAAGGTAATCTCGCGCTGAATTATTCAGGTCCAACATTCCGCCAACATTTGCTAACAACAACAAAACAGAAGGGAAGAGAAGGGAGGACTACGCCTAATCACATAAGGTGCGGTACTGAAACGGCCGGACGCTCGCAATATGGATGGCGACGGAGCCTGCCTGCTCGCGGTAGGACGGTCACCAGCGAGAAGATTAAGAGCCGAGAGAGTGCGGCCGGATCCCGACGAGGAGGAGGAGGAGGACGGATCCCGACGGAAGGAAGAATGGACGATGCCATCGATGAGATAAACGACGACGAGGAAGCAGACGTTTCAAGAAGCAGCAGCAGTAAGAGGACGACGACTGACTACGGCGACGACGACGAGCGTCCAGACTCCAGGGCGGAAGCGCTGCTCGTCGCAAGAGGAGGAGGAGGAGGAGCGGGCAAGCAGCGGGGCAGTAAGAAGCAGCACGCAGCAGCCAGCGACGAAATAGCTCCAAGCATCGCATCAAGGAAGGATTTGTGGCGCCGCTCACATCGAGAGAATTGATGTTTCTCAGCATGGCATCATCATGTATATGATTTTTTTGAGCAAATCTTTGGCCCGCGCGAGCAAGATCGGAGTGCAGCGGAGTCGTCAGATCTGGGAGGGAGAGAATGAAGTGGCATTGTGTAATGGGAGTGAGTGTATAGCGGTCACTGGGGAGGTCCGAATCCGCTGCCTTTAAAAGCCTGTCAGTCGAGCGTGGATTTCCGGACACCACCATCCATCGGCGTCAGTACTGTAGCGGTGAAGTACAAGAAAGAAGCAAGAGGTGAATTAAGAATTCTCGAGGTTAGAGTAGCCGTAGAAATCAGTTGCGATGTTGCCTGTTTCTCAGCGCGGTCGAACGGCTTCGAGCTACCGGAACAACTCTGTGATGCCTCAGTATTTGCGACGTATCATCAAGGTCGGCATTCAAATTTTGATTTTTTCTTCCTCTGCATTCGAATGTGTTTGCTGGTTGAATTGGAAGACTTCTGTCTGCTAAGAGCTCAAAGGCAGGTCTACATTTTACAGGAGACTGTGATGTTCACATGATGTTGATGGTTACTGGATGGTTCGAACATGAATTAAGAATGAAATTTTGTTCCTGGTTAAACTTCAGATATCCGTCCGTTTCCGAACTAATAAGATTGAGACCTGCGAAGACATTCTTAAGTTACTTTGAAGACTAAGAAACAGCTGCTCGGGGAATTAACAAATTAAACCATGAACGATGCTTCTGTTAGGGTTGCCTGTCAGAGGTTTTTCATCTCCAATCGGCAAGGGCGTGCAAATGAATCAGACGGAGAGATTGTAATATTGTGGAACCCCGATCACCTATACGTTTTTTCAAGGGAACGAGCATGTTGCTCTTTCCCATTAAAAAAATATAGTAGTGTGGTTAAGTTAGATGTCTGCTTCTTTGTTACCCAGAAAAGTCCTAAAGCCCGTACGTTATTGTATGTCGACCGAGAAGTCAATCCCTACACTGTACGAGGTCCTCTACAGATGTGCTACAGCCATTTTTTTCCTTCATCGAAAACTTTCAGGCTTTCATAATCTGCAGAGGCTTAGGCGCTCCTTACGACTGAGCCTTCCTGTGAGAAGATTCAGTAGATTCTGCACTCCATGTGCAATCACTGGTTTGTTGTTGTGGTTTTCTGTTTCTTGTTTTTCTGTTTACCTCATGTTATTCTTTTCTCGGTCTGTTTTGACCTCCGGGAATTCTATTGACTAGCTCCCTGCGTCAGTGATTCTTGACCGAAAAGGAACGGTCACACATTATGGGGTCATGTTAGTTCGATAGAAAGCAATCCGGAGACTACAAGTAGCCAATCTGTTCTGTACGACTAATACTTCGTGTGATATGGGTCCGCAGTCTTTTTGCACTTCATGTGTACTAATTGGTTATGTGTTATGATAGTTTTTCTTTTCGTTTTTTTTCCTTGTTTATTGCTTTTGTTCATTCAGAAGATATATTCTGGATTCTTTCAGTCTAGCTTCGGGTATCAGCTCCTTTAGTAAGTAAGTTTTTTCCCTTTTTATATGGTTCTGTGCTTCAAGTGTGACTTTTTTTGAGTTAATCCCTATAGTCTGTCTCTAGTTTGTAAATAATCCGCTTTATCTTGATGGAGATCTTGGAGTGTAGAATGGTGCTTCTTATATTTTTCAAGGGCAAGGTCGCAGCTTGCTGTCCAATTTATGGACCAGTTTGTTTTTGTGGTTTTATTGCAGGTCTCAAAATTCAAGGTTTGGTGGTTTGTTCCGTCTCATCTATCAATGTCGCAGCTCAGCCAGCAAATTAGTTCCCAAATTTTAACGACCTAAATTCCACTACCAACCCTTTTTGAGCCAGATGTTATAGATTGGGTTTAGGAGTGAAGGATAGAAAAGAATCCTGAACAATGTTATTTTTGTCCTACTCTACTCATGTCATGGTTGATTGGCAGTACACAACCTTTAGTAATCATCACCATTGTGCGGGTGGGGTTGTGTATTCAGTGGCAGCAAATGGATATCGAGTACACATTCTGGCAAATGCTTCACCTTTGTACCTCTCCTAAAGTTGTGTAAGTTCGACCTGCACCTCCTTTGTCTTGCGAGGTCTTTAAGTGGAGCCACAACCAACTCTCTTTTGAGTTCATGCTTAATGTGATTACGTAACAAGCACCTCCTATGTAGAAAGTTTTATGGCATGTAGTCTACTTATTGCAAGTTTTAAATCGTCTTGAAGACATCATGGTAGTAGCTTATAAGTTTATTTCTCATGGATTGTGCTTGTGATGTGGTCTGGTCACTTCACGCTCGGGCTTACCTTATGATGTTGAAACCTGACAGCTATCAACACACCAAGTACCACAAACGTAAGTCACGGGTTGAGCTACATAAGTGGTTTGTTTAAAATTAGCACTTTCAGTTAGCCATTTTCATGTCCTTTATGTGTTTATAGCTGTTCGTTACCACGTCTTAAAGACACGAAATTAGCTTTCTGCGCATCAATTGTAAATTGGTGTTAATGTTAAAGGATTTGTAGTTGGAACTGTTGTTGTTTTGCATTTTGGCTTTTTGGTGTGCACATCGTTCTTTGATATAGCCCCTTCGCAGACTGTAAGTCATAGAATGTAGTCGTTCACTTTTTAAGTTTTTGTGAATACACATTTGATTGACTCTTTGAATGATAAACGTTTCTATAGACTGTCATCAGTTCAATTAATATATATATATGATGTCCTGTTTTTCTCTTGCGTATTTGCAGAGACAAAGAACCAGTGGGCACGGGATGACCCAGCTTTTGTTGTTATCTGTAGCTTACTTTTGGCAGTAGCCGCCTCTGCTTACTGTGCAGCGTAAGTGTTTCATATGGTTATTGCTCGTTGGTTCATGTAATCCTTCACGTTTGTATCCACATTATTTGGGTCTACTTACTCATCATATACTTCACTTTCCCTCTCGAATATACCTTGAACGCGATTGGAGGTCTTTCTGAATGTTGCCAAATTTCACGGTTGGCACTCGTTCCAGTAGATTACTGTCCTTTCGTTCTTAGTAGACGTTGTGCTCGCAATTTTTTCTGGTACTAAACTGCAATGATGATTTTCTATTCACATTCGGTAGAATAGTGAATCTGCGAGCCCTGTCCAATTCGAGTCTTATTTACTTCTCGCTGCCTCCATACACCTTTGACGAAGACACTGATTAGTTCAATTGTGCGTCTGGCTACTGCATTGTTCAAGTCTTACAGTATTTGACTGGGTGTTTTCAGGTACGGCGACAGCGTTGCTGCAGCGGGCTTCACAATTTTTTCTGTTGTCTGTGTGCATTTTCTTTTGATAGGCTTGGCGTTAGCCACCTTGTTTTGGTATGTTTCTGTCTGGAAGCTTTGGACCCCATGTATAGTTCTTTGGAGATTATATGTGCTTTTCTTGTTCTTAGTTGTGTCAAGACTGAACCGATGAACTATTCGGGAAGTTAACGAACTGAGATGTTAAAGGAACTCCAGAGAAATGTTACTGATTTGTAAGAACGGTCACACATAATTCTTAGTCCGCATTAAGTTTAGAGCAAGGAAGATTATTGTGGTAAACAAGAAGTTTAATCGCAACACTTACTGAATGTTATCGACCAATCATATGCTATTCAGGATTGTTATTCATAAAGTCTTATTACATATACTTTCGATCAACTTTTTCTCAAGCAAAGGGTTCACATTTTTTGCATTCGGTTTTGCATGCATGCGGGCTATTTTGTCGTATCGATGCCATATGTCACACCAGACCTTAATCTTTATTCATAGACCTTATATGAAATCTGATCCTTTTTGTATCTGGGATGCATCTATTTGGTCGGAATGTATCAACATAGGTTGAGTATAATATTCATTTAAGTCTCTTATTGAGTTCTTCATCTTTGGGTGTAGGACCGTAGACGCAGTCTTCTGTCGATCGTTCCATGACACAGTCATTAAGGCTTGAGCAAAAGCAATATGCTATTTTTGAACGTTTGGGCTAGGCTAGGTTCTGATGTGCACACATATCGTTGATTGTGATATCAGCAATGATAAACACGCAAATATCTATTCTTTCTGGATTTCTTTATACTGCTGAACCCATCGATTTACTCAATAATTGTATAATAATCAAAAGCTTGTTGGTCTATAGGTTCTTGTCAAACCACTACCTCCGAGAGGAAGCTGCAGTGCACACTCATGTTGTCGAGCAAAAGGTTGAATGGTAGGTAGTGTATCTGTGCAAGTTTTCTGGCTGCTGTATGTGATATTCAGATCAGTGTGGCTGTAGAAATATACTCGACTTCGTGGATTTCATTCACCACGGTGTAAGGTATAGTGCGTATAATTAGTATTATATGTTTTGATCCCGTCATGGTGTACCAATGGTGTATGAATTGGTAGTTATCTCATATCTCTTTGGCGTGCAAGAATAAATGTGGTGACAACTAAACTTTTCATGTGCAGGTTGTATGCCTTTGATATACACTGTAATGCGTACTTTCCAGTATTCGTCATTTTGTATGGTATGTTAACAACAATCATTCCCTTCTTCGGTTTGATACTTTACTATGGCCAGCCAGAGTATGAAGATATTCTCTTACATCGGGTTTACATTTATTCACTCATTAGTGTTTTTCAGATGAAAGCATCGGAACTTGGATAAACTCCGGAATGACTATTAATTAAGGCTTGTCTTGACTTTGTCAAGATGGAGTTGCATACTCATTGAGTGTTTGCAAATTTGTCACTGGTTGCAGTTCTGCAGTATTTTCTTTCTCCCCTTCTCCTTGCTCATGGATTTGTACCGACATTGTTGTCGAATCTACTTTACGTGGTAGCTCTGTGCTACTATCATTATCTCAACTTTCTTGGGTACAATGGTGAGTAGTTCGCTCCCTCCTGAAATTTTATTCACAGTAGTTCGGCGGAAAGTACTTGTCGCGTTTGTCGAGGTTTAGGTATTGAGAGCTGACCTTTTGAGATATTTGATCTTGAAGTGTTTTGTTGTCAAATTTTCTATTGATGTAATAATATATCGACTATTGTCCCATGCAGTGCTTCCGTTCTTGGAAAAGACAACGTTCTTTTTATACCCGGTTGCTCTGCTGATTATACTGTTCCCTTTCTGTGAGTGTTTGAAGCTTACTCATCTTGATTCTCTTTGCACTCAGCAGATGATGTCTTCAATCAGAATTCAAATGATATCATTTCTATCTAGATCTGTCATGAGTCCACATGACAAATCTACAGATGTAGGTAGTGGCATGACTGACAAAAGATTTCTTACAGTATCATGTTATCACTGTGATGGACAATTCATTAGAGCATCGCTGTTCTTGCTCCGTGGATTAGGATAGAGTCTAATTCTTCTGTATTAACGTGTCGTAGCATCACCAATTTTTACCATCACGACAACTCGCTTTACTCTTTAATCGTTTCACTACCAACCTTCTCTCTTCATTTGCTACTTGTGATCGGTTGACAGCGGTGTTAGCGGGGTTCAATCCAACCAGATTTGCGCTAGGATTCTACTTTCGGTGAAGCAAATGTTCAAAGACGGAGATTCATGTAACTATATAGTTTCTTCGTCGATTCTGTTTCTTTCGATTCGACGTCATGTATTGGCTTCTTGTTCGTAGGAAGCTTAGGTCGTTTGCAGTATGGACCTAGAAAATGAATCACTTAGTTTGTGGAGTAGTAACTGACATTTCTTCTGACCAGGTTTTTTCTTTTTACCTCCTGCAAGAATGATCAGAAATGCCAGTATCTGGCAAGATTGAATTGAGGAGGATAAAGTGGAGGAATGAGCTACAATTCGACTAGCCATTTTTGATTCGCTAAAATGAGGACGAAGTCTGTAACACACCGGTCTTTAAACTTCCGAGTTAGCTCTGTATCAGCCTCTACGACCTTCCTTCAAGACCCTCTTTTCCCGTGATGTTTACAACCTCTGTACAAGATTTGCATCGCAATGATGGCAATTAGATCAAAACAATGTCAAGAAGCCCAACTTGCGAAGGATAGATCCTCAAGTTCAGTTATTCATGAAGGTGACGAGTTATGTATTGCCTGCAACTTTTGGTTTCTCTGAAAATTGCATTGTGAATGACTCTGGTGGCAGATGTTGGCATCCTTGTTTTTTGAAAGGCTGGTACATCTCCAGTTCAATTCTTTCAACTCTACCCGTTGTTAGCGAATAAAGAAGGAATACTCATTACGGTTGTTATGTTCACGTCGAGATGACATGTAGAAGAATAGAGGCCGGTCAGTGTTGAATGTACATGTTCGGGATTAGCTTTTGCTTGATCAGTGTTCGAAGGCGACAGCGATTTCATGATGATGAAAATGGTGCAGTCCACTGATAGATTTACTACACGATAGGTGCAGTTCCAAACTCGGTGCGCATCTTCTTCAAAGTAGGACCGTCTTTTTGGTCCGAGGCCTCAAGAGCGTAATGTATCAATCAGCTTTTGTGTCGCTTCACATGTCGGATGGATGTTAGATTTGCAGTGAAAAACTTTGACTCTTATTGTTGTTGGTCACAAATTTCATCTATTCGGAACGAATTTTGAACACTTGAGGATTACATCCAGGACCTTCACTGAAGGCCGGCCTATGTCTTCAACAAGCATGTCCAGGATATGTAGCCTGAAACTGCAGATTTTGTCATCACGCTACCGCGTTGAAAGCCACATTTTCTGTATGTATATATCTTACGTCGTAGCATTGAAGCTAAAGCTATGAACAAAGCAATCAATAGTCTGCATGTTGTGGAGGGGTCTTTACTCCGTTACACAAAACCCACCGCAACGACTGATGCCGCTGTCAATATTTGGCGTGAAATACGAGCACTTGACTAAAGAGCTACAACGGCACCCGCATACAAGCACTGCGAGCTACTCCAGACACAGGCATTGCGAGCTGCTCCATATGGCATGTCCCAGGGCAAAGTAAATTATCCTTGGACGGAGGAAGCTTTAGCAGAGTGGTTACACACAAATCAAGATCGTGTGAACATGTGCGGTGATATGCTCAAAGAGAGTGTGAAGAAGGGCTACGTTGCCTTCTAATTTTCGAATGATTGGCTCAAGTCGTTCAAGATATGTAGTTTGAAGAGCGCGGATCTATCAACATGGAGTTGATTGAGAATGAAAGGTCAAAGAATTGGGAAGCCCTGGACAAGTATAAGCTTGCATACATCTACAACATGGATAAGATGGGATTCTTCTATAGGATGCAGTTGCGTTTTGAACTCTTTGTAATTGTTCTCTCAAAAAAATACTACATTATAACCAGGGCATTTGTTCTAAAGCCGACCACTCCCTTGCGACCAAGCAGATGGAAGGCCGGAAGCCGCATGCTTCATGCTCACCGTTTGCTGCATCCGAACCATCGTCAGACAAGTTTCCGTTCTGGTTGATTGGAAAATCAAAGAGTCCATGCTGCTTCAAGAGCATCAACCTCAACAACCTGGGTTGCATCTACCTCAACAATGCAAAAGTTTAGATGACACATATTGTTTTCCTTTCCACATATTGCTAACCAAAAAAATTATTCACATCATGGACAATTGTAGTGCTCACTTTACTATGGGTTAGTTTTTTGATCACATTCACTTGCAAAACACAAAAGTCTTCTACCTTCCACCAAACACCACGTCAAAGCTGCAGCCTTGCGATGCTGGAATCATCCGAAACTTGAAGGTATACTATTGGCGGTACTTTAACCGCCTTCTTTGGCAGCAAATGAAAGACAAGGTGTTAGATCCCAACAAGTTGGACATTCTGCCAGTTATCAGACTTGCAGTTTCAGCATGGAGGGATGAGGTCAAACCCACGACAATTGCAAATTGCTTTAGACATAGCACGATCCTAAGTGTGGATACTTTCCCAATGGAGGATCAGGGACTGCCAATCACTCAAGAGGAGGCCAATGTTTCGGAAGATCATGTTGCTGAAGAGAATCTAGTGGATCAAGAGATCATCAAAGTTTTGGATTCACAGATTTAGCAATTCCATTATAGCAATCTAATGGACATCCGAAATTTTCTCAAATTTCCGGATAAGGCGATGATCACATAGCTATCGGATTTTGACAAGTTCATTCAAAATCACCTTCCCACGGAGGCTGACAATGTAGCTGTGGATGAAGACGACAGTGAGGCGCTTCCTCCGATCCAACCGCTGAGTCACCGCGGATGATTTAGACTCTTGAAACTTTCTAGATGCAGCAAACAGATACAAAGAACCACATCATGAGTACCCTGCAGCAGATGAGGTACAAGATTTGGGATATCAAAACTCGTCAGATGATCTAGAAGTGTATTTAGAGCTACTTTGTCCAAATTTAAATAGCACGTAAGTAGGATATATCAATTTACAAAAGTTGTGGAATCAAACCAAGTTTATCAAATAAGAGATTACGGAAGTTTATCAGTTCTAGTTTGGGGATGTGGTTGCCACCGGATATATTTAGTATTTTAGAGAGGTTATCAATTAAAATAGTATCATTTTAGGGAGGTTATACTGTACAAAGTAGTATACAGTTATCATGAGAACATTGCAATTTGAAAAAAAATGTAATGTTTGTGATATGACATTTCACAATCAATTTAATAGATTATCATTAGGATCAAGAGTTAGGCTTAATGATTTTATCATAAAATAATGATACACCTAGTATGTGTTATATGAAAATGATGAATATTTGAAAAACATACAACATGTGTATTATTGGCTAAAAATATAACAATAGTGTTGACAAGCTACAATAGACTTTTATGTTCAAAATTGTGTAACTTGTAACATAACAAGGCAAATAATATAATTTAACTGGTTTATTACAAAAATCTCTTTATTTTGAAACAAGCATATTTAGTATCAAAATTTGAATGTGAATTATCAAAAAATTTAAAGAAAAAATATTCAATTGTGTTATTTTAACAAACTTAGTAAAATGATTCATATTAAATCTAAAAAATAATATAGCTTCATAATTTTCTCAATAGTAAATAAATCTAATATTTGTGATACATTGCTCAAACAAAGTTTTAATCATATATAGAGAGAATTATTTCATTAATTTCTGCTGAATTATATCATTTAAATTTTTTTGAAGAAAATAGCAATGTTTAGATACTATTAATCTAAAATTGATGATCAAACCAAGAGATTCAACAAATTATGATGATAAAACAACTTACTAAATATGTGCTAGATGTATTTTGAAAGAATTTCATTTGAAGATGAAAACATGAATTATGAAAATGAAAAATATAAACAATAATTTATTTTTCTTTATATAGTTCTTATCAATAAATACAAGAAGATAAGATCTCATATTTACATTCATAAGAAATACACGAATTGCTGACGTGTCGTTGTCAGCTAACACATTTATTCATTACCTACCAAGCACATGGATCATTGACATAACAACTATGACTAGTGTACGCTAAAGTAATTATAATTTCATCTTGAATAATTTTTATTTTAATTCTAACTAATTAAAGATAATTACATTAAATGTATTCATGTTAAACTAACAATAAGATTAAAACACTTGTTTGTCATTGTTAAATTTATATCTACAATATGATATACTATCTTCATTATATTTTTATTCACGGCTCAAACTATAATTCAATAAAATTTGATGAGGCTTTTGAAAAAAAAGTAGATTTTTTTTATCAAAAAAAAATATTAATAATTTTATGCAGCATATTTGCGTACATAATTATATTTATAAGAAAAAAATATTGATTATATAAATGAAGAAATATTACATGAAAATGCTCATTAGATTTCATGTTTGATTATGTGCAACAAGTTTATAAGCTACATGAATATCAAAGTTTTATCTGAATTTATTTGTGTTTTTGTTGTAATGAAAATTGTTAATTATTTGTTCTACAAGTTAACTCTTACGTCATTTATAAAAATATATCATATAATTTATGTGTCAAAATAATTTTTTTATACATATAATTATTTTTCAATTAATTATTTTTCCTATTTTATTGATAGCTAATCATGACAATTTTAAGGCAAGATATATAGATTCAAAAAAATATCTGAAATAAGAAACATCATAAAAATAAGTATATGATTCAACAAAATAAATTTATGTCATATATATCAACTTTAAAAGAAGCTAAAAATATAATCAATACATCTTTGAAAATTAAATTGTTTAAACTAACATACAAAACATGAGAACTTTAATTAAATTATATTCTATAATTAATCAAAATTATATTAAATATTATTCTAAAAAATATAAATGATTTTCATAATGTTAAATAAATAATTATTGTGTTTGATAAATAAAGATTGAATATATTAGTTGAAAACATCATGTCAATATTTGATGTGTTTGTTAGATATATTTGTTCATACCATCAATCTACAATTTATCACATTACTTGGATTTGAAGATTGCAAATATATATTTGTCTTGAAACTTTTTGAAATAAATTTTTGTAATTCTCATTAGTATTTGAATTTTTTCACTATAAAAATATATCATCACAAAAGAAAATCAGTAGATTTGTATGTTTTGTAAAAACCACTAACCATAAGTATTTAATCCTTATAGTATATCAAAATAATTAGATCAAAGTTTTATCCAATAAATTTTCAGTTTGATTAAATATAAAAAAATCAAAAGTACTTGATATGAATCTTGTCGTGTGACTCGGTATCACCATACATCATACATTGCTAACATGCTCTACTCACAACTCACAAATACATACATAAGGCACGAGAGTGCCAAGTATACTTAACGACTGAATCGATATTCCATGGCCAGCCATGATATCTGAATATTCCAGTTTTCAAGATGCCTCTTCTGTAAGCCATACTTGCGCAACGCTATCTTCACTGTCTGGATAACACGCTCAGCCAAACCATCCGCCTCTGGATGATCTCGAAACGTGGTCCTGTGATCAATCAGCGTCTTATCACACAAAACCCTAAACTCACTCTGAAACTGTGTCCTCTGATCGGTCAACACCTCAGCTGGTGCACCAAAGTGACTAAGCATCCTGTGAAGGAAAGCATACGCTACTCCCTCAGTCGCCTTGTCAGGTAATGCCACCAACTCAATCCACTTGGAAAAATGCTCCACCATCATCAACACATACCGATGATGTCATATAATCAAAGGTACTGGTCTAGCAAAGTATAAACTCCAACGGTATCCCAATCCCATGATAGGTTATGGATGTAACTCTGATGTCGGGGCATTGAACGATGCCCTCACTCAATTACAAACCATGCAACGTGATACCAACAACTGTACCTGCGTATATATACCACGCCACCGATACTGACCAAGGAGTAAGCTGTATGTACGCTTCACTTCAAAGTGTCCCAACTTTTCATGTTCATGCCTCACAATGCGCGCTCTCTTAGGTGGATGCGGCACTACTCGTACCCTACCGTCCTCCCACACTCGGAGAAAATGTGATCCCTCCAATTGATATCTCTTCGCCCGTTGGAGAACACGATCTCGCTACTTGGCACCCACGGTGCATGACACCATATTGATCCGTAGGAACTCCAACACCAACTCATCATCGTGAACATCACGTTGATTCATACCACCATCCTCAATCTTAGGATCTGAAGATTGACTACCCACTCTCTGACTAGAGTAAGATGTCAAGTGGTCCTCCCTACTAGAGTTTCCACGTAACCAACACATGAAAGCAAATACATGCCAACCGTGCATCATCTCCTCATCAACCTCACCATGCCACCTAGCTCAAGTGTCATCCTCTTGGCTAGTGCATGGGTTCTAACTCAAACCATCAGCATCCAGGTTCGCAACTCCAGGTCTATG